CTTGAAGAGGTAACACAGTGAACTGAGATTGCAACCTTATAGATACTGATCTATCTACAGTACATGTGTGTATATGTGTGTGTATTTATGAGTATCATTTCATGCACTTGCAAAAGACACCACACAATGTGGAGAGAGATGAATTGCTGGCCAACTCACATACACCGTCCTGTGGGATCTGGGCCTTACTACAGGGCCTTCAGTATCCAGCCTCCTCACCGTGTCACCAGTAAGACAAAGGATTGGAAAAACCATCAGCAAGTAAGTGAAAAAGTAAACAGTCATAGAAGAATGATTAATCACCAAGGTCATGAACAGTCAAATACCATCCAGTTGTGAGCCCATTGTATGTATTTATAAAAAGAGAAATGTTCTTGGAATAATGTCCTCAAGGCCACAGGGCAGCTACACATGGAAACACATCCAGTTGCAACGGTGTTTACGCTGTGTAACGTACTGGCCATGTGGTTGCACGTAGCGTACATCCTGCCCAGGACAGCACCCTGTCGGGGACGGACCCACCTGCTCCTGAGCTCCTCTGAGGCCAGAGCAGATGTTGCCCCAGCACAGCCTCAGCAGCGCCAGGTCACTGTGACCCAACCCAGAGACAGGACCAACTGTTGCACTCACAGGAGGTTTGAGATACTGCTGTATAGTCAGCATAGTAACCACATCGGCCTCATTACAGGGGGCCACCACACTCCAAAGGGTGGAAAAATGATAGACTATAGCCTAAAGTACCATCCACATGAAAACGCCCCAGACAAACAGTAAGTAGTAAACCCCTCAACTCTAAAACTGAAGTACTGTCCAGTAAGCTACAGCAGGTCAATAAATCAGACTATAAGGACCATATGCAAAGTATTACCTGTGAACAGATGCCAAAAATACCTCCACCTTCTCATATATGGCTGACAGCTTGTCACAAGTCGTGCTGAATAATGTCAACATGCAGGAGGAGAACTAGCAACACTGGGAAGCCTTTACTGGATGGCTTATCAGTAAGTAAAAACTGAAAAGCAGCATGCAGTTTTAGAAATGCAAGCGTTAACATCAGCATTAACACATCATCCAGATGACAAAGCCAGCAGCCAGGGCTCAGGCTACTGCCCGATGGTGATGCTTTTAGCTCCAGTGCTCTCTGTTAGGCTCCTGTTCTTACACCCACTATTGGGTTCACTTGTTGCTACATTTGTATTATTAATTGTGGTAATCACTTTGCATGTAAGAGCCTTTCTACTAGCCAAAAAGCTTACTGGTGTAACCAGCAAGTCACAGCGTCTTTAGGAAAAGGTAGTTAACTGTATGTGGATTAAGGGGTGGAGCGCAGTGGTCATAACCAGAAGACTCTTGTGCATCGAGGAGTTAAGTGATCCACCTGAGTTCAGATGAGAAGGTGCAGGCCTCTGCTGCACATATCACCTGGCCACAGGATAAACTTTGCCAGCTAATCCTAACTGGGGAGCCTGCAGGTTGGCAGGCACTTGGCACCTGGGGATACCACAACCTGTGCAGCTGCCTCTGGGAAAGGGGAATCCTAGGCAGATTGCTCATCATGACAGGGAGACAGTAAACATGGAAGCCCAGCCCTGTTCAGGAAAGAACCAAGCTTGCAATACTTCATTTTTGTTTGAATTCTGTTTCCAGCCTGAGGCTTCTGCAAACTAGTATTTCTTCCCAGAGTTACTCACATAGGAGGCATTTCATACTCACTTTCCTCCCTGTCTGCATGGTTGTGGTTGGCGGCATAGCCAGCCCTACTTCTGTTTCTTGTAGACGTGCCACAGCTGCTGCCACTCAACAGACACACCTGGATCTGGGATTACATTTTGATTTTTATTGAAATACAAAAAGTGCAAACTGTGAAATACAAGATTGGTGCAGATTAGAAGGAAATAAACAATGTGAGCCATGAAAACCCCAGCCCTGCACCTGATGAACATCAACAGAAAAGGCAGCAGGGAACACCAGCAACAAAAGCAAAGCCAAGAATTTTGCACAGGAGCCCCTGTGCATAAAAGAAGAAACAGGGACCAAACTGGCCCTCGGCTCTCTATCAAATTCGCAAAGATAGCCCCAAGGCATCCAGATAGACCCAGCCTGCCCTGTGCCACCCAAAAGCTCTGGTATCAGTACATAGCTTGGGCCAGGGAGCAGGAGTGATCAGAGGCCATTAAGACGGCAGGAGGCTTAGCAGAGGAATGATCTAGGCACTAAAAAGCAGAGGGTTGAAGTGGAACAAGTACCCCCACAGGGAGAAATGGCTGATAGCTAACCTGAAAGACTCAGGGAAGAGACCTTTGGTCAGCTCTACAGCAAGGAGAAAACTGACAAAGACCAGCACCCTAATCAGATACTGCCCCCCACCTATACATTGCAGGGAAACCCAGCCCAGCCAGTGTGTGAGGAGGCTGACCAGGTGCAGGGGGAATTTAAACTTATAGGCTTGGCAGATGCAGGCTCTGGTGGCCACCCAGCCAGCGCAGGCTGCAGGCAGGCCCAGGCCAGTTCTTTGCTCAAGTCACAGGAGGGATATTTCAATACAAGGCATTCAGGAGCAGACTGCAGAAGCAAAAGCAACCCTGGTTACTGTGCCTGCTCCACGACTCCAGCAGCTCCAGCATGAGGGGCAGCAGAGGAAAAGGGATATTTACACTGGGTCCCTTCCAGGAGTGCAAGCACTTTCCCACCGTGAGCAGCAGCAGCTTCCTGAGCACCCTCCAAATCTGCTCCCTGCAGGCACTGTACAGGAGCACGCTTTTATCCCTGCCTGCAGGGGACGCACCAGTCTCCATTTTGCTAAAAAAGGTAACATTATTTCAAGAATTCACTAAAAAAAAAAAAAGCACCCACAAACAAACTCCAGCCAGAACATGGACACTTGCAGCAGTCCCTGCTCTCCCCCAGCACTGCTCCTCTCGCTGCTGGGCAGGGAACAGTCCTTGCTGCTCTGCAGGGCTGGAACAGGCCACCCTCCCCAGGGAGCTGGGGCTGCGGACAGGGCCAAGGCCTTGTACCCCGGAACACAGGCACTTCCCATTCCAAGCTGCCGACCTTGGGCTGGTTCGTCCCAGGAGAAGTTCGCTGGGTTTGCCTTCCTCTAGGCGGACTGAAGCAAGGCCAGCGTCAGCTGCACATAGAGTCAGAGCACCAAGTCCCCCCATACCTAAGCCTACACAGAGCAGGGTGCCTG